ATGCACCACAAAAAAATTACGTGTGTTCAAGAGTAAGCACTCAATTAACTTATTTTACTTAATTTCCTCCTGAAAACGCTAATCTACCTGCTCAAATTTGTAAGCACCTTTAAAAGGAGATTTTAGCTTTTGTTTCACTCGCAGTTGAAACGACATGTTTTACAGAAATTACGGTGTCCGACCGCTTTAGTTGCACACGGAAACTGCTGTAATAGAGCAGCGTGTCAACGATACTGCAATTATGAGCGAAAAAAAAATCCCAGTTGCTTATCCAACTAGTGATCAACTTATTTTCACTCTTCAGTACGTAGTAATTGATAATAGTGGAAGAACGGAGACGGATACCGTGAATAGGAGAGATGACACTATTTTTACTTATTTCTCTTACTATTGCTTTTCTGTGAGCCTTTGTGCACATCAAGTAGTAAGGCGCTATCAAGTAGCCTTCTTCAAAGAACAGTGCTAAGAATATAATGTGCACATCAAGTAGTAAGGCGCTATTAAGTAGCCTTCTTGAAAGAACAGTGCTAAGAATATAATCTTAACTATATGCAAACAATATTTCATTAATTGCATGTCTGTAACAATTTGAGTTCAAGCAAAAAATGGCAGACTTATTTCATGTTCGAGGCGAAGCGTTGTATTTTTCTTTGAAGTGAACCAACTATTTATGGAACAAAATCAAGAACGCACGAACCTCACGTTCATGAGAGACCAGTTTTTGGTGATTACAAAGTCTTGTTAGCATTTGACGGGATCGACGGGCTCACGGTTGCTTTCATCAACCAAATCCCACAAGTGATGGTGTATGAGACGGCGAAGCCAGCTGGGAATATCTCAGCCGCAACCAACACGTTTGTCAACTTGCCTGTCAATCGTACATGGGCTCCTAGGCTACCAGGATCCGTTCCTGAAAGAAATGGGAGCGATTGAAGACATAGAAAGTGACTTCAAGCGGAATCAATGGTAGAAGATGGATGAGGGACGCGCCCATGAGCTTGCAAAAAGACGGAAAGCAACAGAAGGAAACACGACACTAAATGCAGTCCATGCAGCTGCACATTGAGGTCTTTATGGCTTGAAAAATGGAGAACAGGTTTGAAACCATATATGAGAGTGTGATTTGATTAGGCAAGGATAAAGACGCACCTGTCAGCACATATGTAGTTTGCAAACAAGTAATTGACGTAAGCTTAACTCCACTATATTAAGATCCTATCGTACGCACTTTCTGGCGGCTGCTGAATGCTTTGCTTAGCGAAGCCATAAATAAGAAGTTTAAGTGGTTTTATCAGTGTTTAGAGCATTATTACAATTAAACTCTTCATCTGCATGACAGTGTTCTTGCAGTGCCCTAATTAGGTAGTTTAAAAAGAGCAGGTAGAGTTGATCAGTATCGAAACATCAAGACTCAAGGTCTAATGCGCAGAATAAATCCGACATTTATGTCGACAAGAGACGCAAACCCGTTTTGTATTCCATTTCTCAAAAGCAGTAGTTGTTAGTTGTATGTTTATAGAAGCGGAGGCTTTTTGATACTAAAAATAGGCTTTCATTTTTTCCCTTTAGAATTTGTCATTCTCAAGC